AAAAGAAACTAACTCTCCCACGTCCGTTCTGTGATATCACGGGCCGCGCCGCGTCGCACCGATTTGTTCGGAGAAGCTCGCATCACAGGCCCATACAATATGAAAACACGCCAGTACGGGCCGCACTCTTCCTGTCGTTGGCACGAACTCGTAGGGCACGGCCCGTGAGACTAAGTACCGTTCGAAGCCAGCGTAATGCGGGTGTATGCGGCGCGATGTATCATTGCGTCTCTATATGTCTGGAATCAGCGAGTACCTTACCCTGCCTATCAAATCCTTTCAATACGATGGTAAGCATTATATTGCATGCCATCGATAAGATAAGCTGCTCATTTAGGGCTTAGCTTTACACGTTGTCCAAGGGTTGCGAACTTTCTTCGGCATGCAAGTTTCATTACGACATTTTCCTTCTCAGTTACCGAAAGTTGGAGAACATTCACTGAAGCAACATATTCCTGCGGTTTTAATTTCCACGTATGTTTTGTAAATGTTTTGTTTTAAAAGCCAATATTACGACTATAGTACTTATATACTATATACAACATAATCCAAAAATACACAAATTCTCAACGTGGATCAAAGCAAAAGATCACAAAATCGTTAGAGGCGAGCCTTCTCTTCATTATGCTACTGTTATCTTGTGATTGTCATGCTAATACTGTCGGTTTGTACAGCATTAATATACAAAGCAGGCTTACATTGTATTTGTTACGGTAAACGGCATTAACTAATGGTTAATGTTTTGTTTAAATAGTAACAGATATGAGTGTTGAGAGATATGTGTGAGATATATATGTATGCTACGTCTTTATTGAGATTAAATTTATAAGACAAACATATTGTAATAAAAGTGGTAAAGATATTCGGATGAATTACATATTATGCCGATCCCACCTAGCGTATGGTAATGATAAGAAGAACAAGAAGTGGTAAAGTTATTAGAAACAAGGATGATAGGGTTAATATGTAAAGATCCTCGTGAAAGTATTGTCACCTTACCTATTTCTGCCGCCAAGCAGTAATGTGAGCATTACCGCCTTCCGGTTTGGAAGGCTAAGGGTGCTGGTGAAATTACAGGCACGAGGGAGTAGTCAACTTATGTGTCAGGGTGACGGGCGCAGTGGGAGTGCCCCTAAGATCTTTGCGATTTAAAGCTATGGGTGGCACTGCAACTGTTTTGGACAGGAGTGTCGCGTCTCATGAGGCGCACGACTTACTCGTTCCCTCACTTGGTATTATATAAAATAATAAAAATTTTCTTCCGCTGCCTCCACATACGCGGATCCTGTACAAATACTATATTACTAAAAAAAGACCGTGTAAAAAAACCCTATTGTATTTACATTTTATCACACGAAATATAAAGGGATCGCAGTGAGCGGTCTAGCGTTCCTCGCAAACATTCACCTTCATCAGGTAGTTGGTCCACTTTTTGGGCAGTCTGATGCCCATGCCGCATTTTCCATAACGCTGTGACGGTGTGACCTCCTTACACCATCATATCACCTCTTTGTATCGCCTCTCTCCGCTTGTATCTTATCTTTTTTTTAATTTTACAGGTATTTAAATTTTAAATTTGAATTTTTCCATCTTCCTTCACTTTCCCATTTTGTTTTCGTACCACGGTCACTCCCAAGGAGTTGTTAATAAGCTAATCATGTGTAATAATTTATAAGTCTACACCCTTCATGTATCTATTTCTGTAATTCAGTTTCTCGGCCCATTTAGGGGTAAGTGCCTTAATAATAAAGTGTATGGAGTGTTTTATACTGTTATACCTGTTTTTTTACATTTACCTTTATATTGTTACAGCCTTTCTTTAAACTTTACTTCTTTAATAAATTTTGTGGACCGGAAGTTTCCCATTTCATTGCCGTGAACCTGTTCACGGCTAGTTAGGGTTACAACCCTTTCAACGCTATCGTCACTCGAGAACTTTTTTGGCCCCATCTGCCATCTATTTTACGAACACTATTCAAGTGTAGTTTAGATTCCAATATCATAGGTTAGATCTCCCTAAACTTGAATTTGGAACACAGCAGTTGCTGTAGAAACAGGTAGGTCGACGATGCCTAATCATACGAGTCCCGCACAAAGAACGCTACGAAGTAAATGGAGATTGTGTGGCATAATTACGTATTAAAATTGCGTGACATTCTACCATACCTACATTCCAGTTGAACTAACACAATAATGTTAAATATAGCGTATAAGTCCAAATTCGCAACAAGATTCGCCAATTGATAAGCGCTAGCGTGTTGAAACGTTGTTTACTGGGGATTTTCAACAGCTCATTTCGAAATGTTATTGCGGCTATAGTCCTTAGATAAGAAAAACTTATAAGGTTAATGTTATTTTCTTAATGAAAATAATTTAGTTTATAAGTTATCAACAGAGATGGGCAACTGCATGGGTTTTGACCCGGTATTTTGTTAACGCCGCATTAAATCGGGTTAAAATCCATTAACGCCCAAATCGAAGGCAAAAACTGCTTACAACTAAATATTTGCTGTAAATTGAATTTGTTCAAATTGAATGATGTTATTATTACAAAAAGCTCATTTCTTTCTGATTCGATTTGCTTTTCTATTGAATCAATTCGCTTGAAAATCGCATTTAGTAGCAGTAGAGTTTCTTGTGAGCGAGTTCGTCCAGGGAAGTACTCCCGTCTTGCTTATTTCTGCCAGCCAAGCAAGGGTTCCGATTTTGAAGGGTAAGGGTGCTGGTGAAATTACAAGCCCTTGACACTTGTGACTTATGTCTCAGGGTGTCGGGCGCAATGACAGTACCCCACATATCTTTGCGGTTTTAAAGCTCTGAGTGGCACTGCAAGTGTTATGGACAGGCGTGTAGCTTACCATCAAACGCACGATTATTTGTTCCTTCTTTCACTTGATATTTAAAAAAAAATTAAATAAATCGATACAAAAAATGGTTAGATTGTATTAACTGGGAAGTACTGGCACCATACCTATTACTGCGTTCCAGTTTTGAAGGACAAAGGTGTGGTGAAATTACAGACACATTTGACTGTGACCGCTGACATCAGATCTTTACGATTTGTAACTCTGAGCGGCATGGCGTGTCGTTTACTATCCGGCTTATTATATTCGTTACGTTACTTGACGTCATAAAGAAAACAAACCATCGCCGCTCTACCATAATGTAATGAATTGATAATGAAATGGTGACGCACGTTTTAAAAGTCTTTTGTTAAAGAAATTATTTCGTCGAAGTTCCGTAGCTTGATTGGGGATTTACATATATTTGCAATTATTACTTAACATAAAAACGATCGTGTTGCTGAAACAACATTGTTGAAGGTCTTTTTTTCAAATGTAAAACAGAGGAAAACTTGGACACAATCTCTCCTGTACCGCTAGCATGACAGGGCGCGACTAGCGCGAGAGCGACATAACCGTAACTTTAGAGTGAAAACCTTGCATAAGCGTTTTCACATAGTTCGTTTTTACTGATTTTTGTTGATAAAAAAAACTTACGAAGTTGTTGCTCAAATATGTTATTGAAGTAATATAGTGTCTGTAAGAGGTATAATTTGACTAATTAATACGGTAACTATAAACATTATTGTGTTTACTACATTTTCATCCTGAAAACTTACATAGAAACAAGACTCTCACTCACTTTAAGAGGGTGTAACCAACACACGGCGATTCATATGCGATTGAATGTGTGCAAGCGCACGACTGCATCGATACAAACGCGCGATTGCATCGCTATTTAAAATCGCGCGCGTGTATAAAAAAAGATTTGCGACTGTAACGCTACTGCATCGCGTTGTTGTTGAAGGTCACAGATAATAGCAACACCTAGCGCTTCTATGTCCCTCTCGCATAAGATGCGCGCTGTCATGTTAGCCCCTACTGATGTTTTTCGCCAATGTGGCCGAGACGAAGGTAGACGTTAGTCGAGTTTTGAATGTAAGGTTAGTAGTGAAACTATAGGCACGTAGGACTTGTGAAGTTCGTCTCTCAAAATGTCGAACGCTGCGCTATTATCCCTGAGATCTTTGCGATTTAAAGCTCTGGGTGGCACTGGAACTCTTGTCCGTCAACGCGTCCCTTGACATCATAATATAAAAATTAATAAATGGTCATTCATTCCCTCTTACCTTGAATAGCCTCAAATTTTTATACTACTGAAGAAAAAAGAAAGAGCTTGCAGTTGAATTTATCATCACCATCAACCCATTGTACGTCTCACTACTAGGCACGAGTCGTCTCTAAGGAGAGGACTTAGTGTACAGTCCACCACACTGGCATAATACGGGATAAGCAATTCTTTTTTATATACGCCTAAGCTGTGTATTATTATTACATTAATACGATTAATAAATGGGTCAGTGATGCGTTTGACCTGGGTAAATACTGTGTGGCCGCAATGAGAAATCTTGTGTTTTTTATCTGTATTTTGTCTTTTTTTTATTATTTTTCTAAATGGACTGTGTAACCAATGCATTTTTAGCATTGACTTACAAATAAATGGACGACGGGTCTAATACAAAAACCACGAAAAAAATGTCCCAAGTCAACCTATTTAAACGTAGTGACATGTAAAGGAATATGAAAAGCTAAAACGTTGAATTTAAATTGTAATGTCATCGCAGTACTGTCTAATTTTGCTTGCTTCGCTGTCAGTCGAACAAACGAAGACTAAAGTGTGAATGACGCTCTGCATACGATTTTAACGCCGTATAAGTTCGGACACTTTTTAGCGCGGACCCGACGTCCATATACATAATTGTAAGTCAATGATTTTTAGTAAATTTAATGTCTATCGGCGGGGAACTGTTTGCTTATCAATGTTATTTTAATTTCTATTATGGTGTAATATAAGCTGTTTGTACCTTCTAAGGTAAAATAAATACATATGCCAATTGCTGACGCTAGCAAGTGATATGTACCAATAATATGATGATTAAGAATAAAACCGTTTTGCTGCAACTAATACTTTAAAGACGTTCTTTTCTTCTTTCGCAGGCTTTCTCAACCCTCGATCCGACGAGTACCCCCGCTCCCCAGCGAATTACGGTCTCATGGATCAGATAGCAGCGCTCCATTGGATCAAGGAGAACGTTGCCGTATTTGGAGGAGACCCGACGAATGTCACGCTAATGGGGCATGGCACAGGAGCTGCTTGCGTTCATTTCCTATTGACTTCTTTGGCTGTTCCTGAAGGTAAGTGAAATTAATTGACTACAACTACTATAAAATACGCAGATTGAAATAAAATGAAGTGTTGAAAATAGTGTAGGAAAAGTAAAGCTAATTAGAGAAAGAAGTGGGCATTGAATACGACACACTACAAAAGGCAAGATGGAAGGTAAGAGACGCAAAGAAAGGCCTAGACGAAGTTATATAAACAACTAACAAATAAAGAGAAAAGTTAATGTCGATTCGTACCTGGAACTTCAAGTTGTGATTACTCCACAAACAAAAACCTAGCTCTTAAATGAAAAAAAAAGAGAATTAACGAAATGGTGCGGTCACTTTGTCTATTTCAAAAATTCTATCTTATCATGAATATTATAATCGGCTGAAATATGATCGCATTCATCGTTACACTCTGTAAAGAGTTTTGAACAATTGAAGTACAGCCTTAGTAATACGAAACCGAAAGATAATGCTCGTGTATTTGAAACGAGGACACTATAGATACAGAAGACGGAATTGTTCATATAACTAATGGAAAAGGTAGACATTAAAGTTGTATGGATTATTTCTCCAGCATAACAACAATAATGACTTTATGACGTTTCAATAAAGTCCTAAATAGGGTGTGTTATGATCGATACAACAACAAATAATCTATTTTCACTAGTTAAAATGATACTTAATATAATTTCAAAGGACATAATCACTCATGACGTTAATAAGTGGTATAACAACAAAAGGTATAATTTCATTGTATGCGTTAAACTTTTGCTACGACATTAGATATAATGAAAAGCTAACATAATGAAGTAATGATAAAATTTTAATGTGTAGACAATATTTTTTGTATCAAAACGACCTCCAGCTTCGAATGGGCTGTTTACAATGAAATTAAGACACAGGGACAACCTAATTGTTTGAAACGTCAAGCAAACTGATCGGGATACATGAAGGTAGGTGTTCCCAGGTTCCTAGCAAGCGCATCATTTTGGGACGCGGCCACCGACACGTTGAAACTTTAGTAACAATAGATTTAGATGCGAAAGAGTTCAGCGTCAGCATTACTATATACGCTATCTCCCATGGGCTTGCTTATAACACAAATAAAACAGTATACATGGTGTTTAAGGCCCCGGGCAGGAAGGATCCGGATATGACACTTCCTGTTTTTTAAATGGAGCTCCAATTAGCAGAGTTAGTCAGTTTAAATATCTAGGCCACTATTTGACTGACAACTTAAAGGATGACGTAGATGTTGAACGGGAACGCAGGGCGCTGGCGGTGCGGGCGAACGGGCTGGCGCGCAGATTCACTCGGTGTACAGCCGCAGTCAAAATAACGCTATTCAGAGCATACTGCACTTCGCTGTACGCGGGTGCGCTGTGGTCGAGCTGTTCGCAGCGCTCGCTCGGTAGGCTGCGCGTCCAGTACAACAATGCCTTCAGGGCGCTGTTGGGGCTGCCACGTTTCTGCAGTGCGTCCACCATGTTTGCCGAAGCGCGAGTGGATAGCTTTAATGCTGTGTTGCGAAAGAAGATGGCTTCGCTTTTGACCAGAATACGTGGCAGCACTAACAGCCTTCTGATGACGATAAGATGTGAGTGCTCAATAATGCAACACTTAATTAATAATACTTTGTCTTGTGTAAAATATGTATTCTAACGTAGTCATAAGTAAAATACTAACGAAATGTGGATCTAGTTGTCTGAATAAATGAATATTATTATTATTACTGCGTTCCTCACACTTGTCTCAGGGTGACAGGCGTAGTGGCAGTGCCCTTCAGATCTTTGAGATTTAATATAAAGCTCTGAGTGGTACTGCAACTGTTATGGACAGGCGTGTAGCTTACCACCAGGCACACGACTTATTCATCCCGTCACGTGATATATTAAAAAAAACATATATGCTATGACGCCTGCCCCCTACTGGGGTAGGCAGAGGAGACGCGTTACCTGATGTATCTCTTACGGTTCATCCACTGACATCAGTCTTTTTATACACGCCCGTCTATTATTAGTATTTTGGATCTGGCCCTTTGAAGGACATCCTCAATCTGGTTGAGATATTTACGCCGAAGTTGACCTTTAACCACGTTTCCCTCCACGTTCGCTCCATAAATTTGTGTCGTAATAATATACAATATAAAACATGACGTTGAAAAATAACGGTACGAGTATTTATTTCTCAACAAGATTTACTCTTACTGACATGAGAAAATATAAACCAAAGTTATAAACAGCTTAATGTCTACGAGTTACGTTTAAATGCCAGTAAAAACCAAAATAGGTTCTTTAAGAATTAATCAACGGGGCGTAATTGTGCATAATTTAAGTAACCATCGAACTGGATATACAAAGTTAATTTTAATTTTAATAGCAGTAGACCTCCTTGAGAATATGTGCATTACTGCGTTCCGGTTTGGAAGGGTAAGGGTGCTAGTGAATTTACAGGCACGTGGCACTTGTCAATTTGTGGTGACGGGCGCAGTGGTAGTGCCCCTCATATCTTTGCAGTCCCTGGGTGGCACTGCAATTGTTATGGATAAGCGTGTCTCTTACCACCAGGCGCACGACCTTTTCGTAACTTGGTAACATATTTAAAAAAAACTCTAAGAGCAGTAACCCCGGTCCAGTTATTTCGAAGAAATTTTTCATTGTGTTGAATAATAAATAATTACATACTAGTGGAGTATTTGACAAAAAAGCTATGAATGTCGTGGTAATAAAACATTACGATATTTAATAAATAAATATTTATATGCTTTAGATTGTCTCTTATGGCCATGGTTTTAAATGGAAGACGCGGTGTTCCTCCGCATCGACAAAGTTAATCGGTCAGGGATTCAGGTTCAGTAACCAAGCAAACGATAGTTGTTTTTTATTTGTACTAGAAGCGACATGTCACAGAAATCTTACAGCTTCAAGTTGTTGACAAGGACGTTTGGAATTAGCCCGTTTGCGAGCAAAACAATTGGGATTATTTCAGAGAAAGCCACCAGAGTGGATCTCTGCGCCAGACCGAAAAACTTCCGACGTTTCTCGGTTTCGGCACTCAGGAGACCCTTATCGCATGAGACAGTAACGTCCTTTTAGTTATTATTAAGTTGACTCAGAGGCTGTGCAGCCTTTGATTATTGCAGCCAGGAATTGATCTACTTATGACCACTTGTAATAGCTCGTAAAGAACAGTTGTCTGTCGATTGAGATTTTGGATCTTATAATGGCATGAGTCACCCAAATTTCTAAGTTTCATGAACTTTTAGTACCAATAGCCTCCTTTACACAGTCACTCTGTCGCGCGTGATCAGGAGCGGACAGGATTGCTCGCGGGAAAACCCGTGCAAATTGTCCGTGGAATTGTGCAGGCCTTCCCGCGCAAAAACAATTTTTAAGCTAAGGTTTTATCGCGCGCGATTGCTTATTTTAATTTTTGTTGCAACGGAAATAGCATCCATGTAACGGCTGATCGCGCAGAATAGACCGCGTGAAACTGGCGCGTGTTGGAGTGCGCAACGGACGGGCGCAATGGCGCGGTCTTTCCCTTTTCCTTCCAAACGTCTTTACACGCACGTTCAATCGCATATGAGTGATTAAGTATAGTCCGCTAATAACTATCGCTATCGGTGTAGGACAAGGAATATTCACGTCCATTTAACTCCTCGCCTGGTAAGCCTTACGAGTGAAAATTGACAGATTTGTGTGGAAGGGACAAAGATTGAGTACGCGGATTTACAAAAATCTCTAAAACTTGAAAAGAACAAGATTTTTAAGTTAGTAATTTGTGTGTGTGTGTGTGTGTGTGTGCGTGTGTGCGTGCGCGTGCGCGTGCGCGTGCGCGTGTGCGTGCGCGTGCGTGTGTGCGTGCGCGTGCGCGTGCGCGTTCGCGTGTGTGTGTGTGTTATTTCAAGCATTCTTCTCATACATTTTTTTACACGAAAAAGCATCACAAAAAAATGTTGTTTCAACCAGCTACGACAAGCGCGCGTATATCGAATGAATTTTGAAATCGATATTTTACTCATGCTTCACCACCTGTCCTTGTTGTGGCCAGGAGCCGCCTCTTTGCCAGATAAAGTCCACAACCCACATTTGGCTACAGTGGCGGACTAAACTCTGTCTTTTAATGATGATGCATAATTATGACACTGAAAGAATGCAGAGGATCCATAACGAGCTTCGTTTAATATGCCAGTTTAGTAAAGACGTCTACTAAAATGAGATATCCAGCTAAACGAATAAATTATAAAAGCAGTATCAAAGAAGATTTTACAGCAACCAATATTTTGTTAAAGTATATTATTGATTATGTAAAATCTTAATTACCGTTTCAAAGTAATATAAGATCGTGATTCACAAATATTTGTTAGCGGTTATTATACACGTGCGTGGTCCTAAGTTATACTCTACATATCGTACTCTCCATAATTGACGAACTTCGACAATTATTTGTTTCGAAAGCGGTTAAATGAAATTGAAAAACAAAAGATTCTTTTAAAATTCGCAAAAGCCACACATAGTCTTTGTGAAAAATCGTTCGAGAAACACCATCTCGACTTTCTGTACAATTTTCTCGACATTTTCGCTGAAACATAATATAGATCACCTACTAGACAATTTTACATTACATTAGTTATTTTTATGTATTTCAAATTACGCTCGTGTACTTCTATAGATCTGCGTTAAAAATGTTCTCCTCGGTTTTTTGCAATAATTAATATACATATAAAATCTATTTCTTTTTATTATTTCAGTTTATTTTGTTTGCCGCCCACTATTTTAACGGTGACAAAATTACGGTGTAGAACTGTCAAAATGTTTTAAAATCAGTTGTGACCACGTGACTATGCGACCATGTTTTGCATTACGATATAAATATGCAACTAAATTGTGACGTCACGGTGCTCGCCACGTTCGCTATTGTGATAAACTTTCAAAATGGCGGTTTTATCCTCGAGTTTGACATCTAAATGTGGATATAATAGTTTTATAAAATTATTATGTTATTATTATAATTATTAAATT